TCTATGAGGGAAACATTTGTATTCATTCACAGCTTCACCAAGTGAGGATTCTTGGATCAAGAAATTAGCTTGAAAAGCATGCAGATAGCTCAGAGTATAAAGGGGCAGTCCTCTGAGGTCCTGCACCTGCCATGCAGGTTCTGTCATGCACCTTGGTTTGTGGACTGCTCCCTCATGCCAGAAGCAACCGGGTGGGGAAAAACTAGCTTCCAGAAGATCGCGCTTGAAGGGAGCAGAGCAGACAGGACTAGAAATCAGGGTTTCGCACAAGTCAGGAACTACCTCTCTTTTCACAAGAACTCTTTTTCCTCTTTTGTGGTAAAGACACACTAGCATCATGATGTCTTTATCATGACCAAGGAATGATTATCCGATGCAGGAGAAACCACCTGTTCTCAAACTCCAGAATGCAGCACAGGAGGTAAGTGTTCGCCCATGACAGGACCTTCCCAAAGCTGGGAGTAAAGTCCTCACCATGTCCAGGACTGGAACACCAGAAGTAAGAGCTGAGGTAATCTAAGGGTGCCCACACACCTTACGATTATCGTACGATAATCGCGGGAAATCCTGCGATCGTACGATGTTCGTAAGGTGTGTGGAAGCCGTGCGACCTCTACTACTGTAAGGTCGCACGACTTTAAACTTACGGACATGTTTGAAAACCCGCCGAGCATCGTACGATGTTCGGCGGGTTTGTGGCATGTCCGTACGATAACAGCCGCACGGGCCGGTGTGCGCAAGCAAGTACGATCTGCCAATGCAACATAGGCAGATCGTACGTTTTTTTAAGTACCTTACAACCATCGCAAGACAAAAGTCTTGCGATGGTTGTAAGGTGTGTGCCCAGCCTAAGAAGAAAGTTGAGAAGAGCGCCACGGAGAGAGTGACCCCCCTGGACACACAATGTTCCTGCAACAGGTGAGAGACAGGAAAAATTCCAATCAAGTCAAAGGGACCTGAGGGTAAATGCTCTAAGCCCATCTACTGAAGTACCATATGGTTTATATTGTCCACAGCAAATACAAATTCCCCAGCACCAATTCCTGATCAAACAGGATCCAATTGAATCTTGGAGGCATTTGGCCAATCAGGATGACAATGAACACTAAGGCCTACAGCAACTGTGGTCAGTATTCAACAATGGTTATTCATGAGAAGGTACTATGGCAAACCCTGAAGCCAACATCCTGAATTGGGGTGCAAGGGCAAGACTGAGGAGTCAGAGTCCTTGTAGGCCAGTGATTAATGAGTACTTGTCCTGGCTTACGGAGCAGGTCAGATGTTTCTTCTGAAGATGCTAAGTACAACTGATGTCCCAAATGAGACAAACCAGTGCTCTGAAGAAAACAGTACACAAGATGGGATTCAGCTCCGGAAACCAGACTGACACACTAAATAGGCACCCCTGATGGTTTTCTTGCTCCTGACCTTGTGGGGGCCAGGAAACCATGTTTAGAGGGGGGCAAATCATGCCTACAGAAAGAATAGATGAATACATTTGTATAGACAACAGCGAAGCCTCCATGCTTCCAGTAGGCCATCACAGCTGATGCCTAAGGCTCCAGAGAACGGTTCCACACGCTTTTCGCTGCCTAACCCTTTTGAGGCACTTAAACCATTCCACCACTATTTTAATGGGTCCCTTTTTAAGATGGGTCAGTAGTAGAGCCACAGTGGGTATAGCCAACTGTATAACAAACAAAAGAAAAAACTAGAAGAAAAAATGTACTACAATTCAAAAAAAGTTAGACTTTTCCCAGCAGAGTTGAGGAAAAGCCACCCACTCTGCTACAGCACTAGCAAAAAACTGAGGCATGGTAGTCAAAAGGGGTTATCCTGGGCTGCCCTACAATTTTCTTTTGTTTGAAAGTGTCAAAACCTCCTTGAGGTGGCAATATAACCCAACAGACTTCCGGAGTCCCTCAATGGACAAGAAAGACCAGACATTTTAGACAATTGTGTGCATTCAACCTTGCGTGTTGAAGGTCCTTTACTGTTTCTGCATAAAATGTGCCCCTGTACACAAAACCAGCTCCATAAACACATATGACCAATTTATAGTTTGGAGGCACTTTAGTTACCACGAGCTCCACTCTACTGTGCAACCTAGTGATGAATTGGAAGGTCTTCTACATCAGTACCGAACCTCACAAACACTTTTGGCTTAATTTGGACTAATTCCCAGACACTCAGATCTCATGGCCATAGTTTTGTGGGACATCCAGCAAGCTTATTAGGAGGTGTGATCATACACAAGGTGCCCATACACTTTACAACCCTTGCAAGAATTTTGTCTTGAGGGTTGTAAAGTACTTAAAAAATGTACGATCTGCTCATCCTGGACAGGCAGATTGTACTTGCGATCATCGCAAGCCCGCCACCCTGAGGGGCGGGCTTCCGATGACTAATGAGGGGCGGGCTTACGATGACGGCAAACGGGCAGTGTGTGCGTGCGCACATCGGCCCGTTCGGCAGTTGTCAAACCAGCAGGCCACTAACTCGCCGAGAATTGTACGATTCCCGGCGGGTTTTCTAGCATGCTGGTTCGACAGAAGACGTGCGACAGTACAGTAGAAACAGTCGCATGCCTTCTATACACTGCACGATCACGGGATTTCACGCGATTCTCATACGAGAATCGTGCAGTGTATGGGCACCTACACAAAGGAAGCTATTACATGCCCACTGGTGGAAATTGCTCTGACTGATTAGTTTCTAGACTTGGAAAGATCAGGTTTATAGCACACTGCCTAACAATGCATGTGTGCGCTGCTTCTGTGTGGAATGAAGGTGCACTGCAATGCCTTGATAGAACACATTTTCCCCATCTATGCAAGTTATATACACTGCAGCACATTGGTGTGAACGGTCCCTATACAAAAGCAAGACATTTTTGCCTCTCCTCTGCTGAGGGACTGGGTTGGGCAACACTGTCCAACAGGGCTGGTGTGAAGCCACACTGAAAGCTAGCATACTCGGGGCTCTTCTGCTAGATGTGCTTCTTGTGGTTTTGGTGGATAGTTCAGCTTCTTCTACGTTGTTTTGAACATTTTGTATTTTAAAAACTATATATGTACTACAAACAGGCAAACCAAACACAGTGGGCTAAAATCAGGCCGCAGCCAAGAAAAAGAGCACTTCAGTCCTTGCAGTAACAATTGAAACTTCACATTGTATTCCAGAAAAACACCTATTAAAAGAAAAAACCCATTACTGAGGTATTTGTCTACAAAGTTTATCAGCCGGAGAAAAGCATGGACCCCATTCAGATTATATTCTTAAATTGCATGAGGATTTTCAGGCTGGGTCTTGGAGGTATGAAATGCCAATGTATACCTTTGACGCTAGATATTATTCCAGGTGGTATAATTATTAGATTTGTCTAAACTAACTATTCTCTGTAGAGTGTACAACTCATGTGGAATCATATCCTTGTGCTTTTTAGTTATATTTTATGGCATGTTTTTCGGTCTTTGGTTCTATAATGGCACCCCAGGCAGATTTTAAGGGGGACCCCACAAAAAGTGGGTTTGCCCCTTCACATCAAAGTCCCCCCCACATCCCGTCACCCTTTGCATGTAGCCCCCTTCACATCAGGAGCCCCCACTTACGCATCAGTCTTCATTCCACCTTCACATCACCGCCCCACCACCACAAAAAGGTGAGGCACACTAGCCTGACAGCGCCCCGGTTGAGAAAGGCTGGCTTATACTTCTAATATTCCTTTCCTCATGTCAGCATATCCCCTCCCTTCTCCATGAGTATGCAGACATGAAAACAGAAATGAGATGTGGGCACCTTTAGGTGTAACCACAAAAATGTAAAACAATTTGCAAAAAACTGAAAGGAGATCCGATTGGCCATTAGAATGACTTCCATTCAGACAAACTTTACAGGAACATGTGAATGTCAGCAGGGCGTTCACAATGCTTGATCCAGCATTTTTCACCCCCCTGCAAAGAGGAAAGACTGCCTGGCGCACAAAATCAGGCAGCTGGTGGTGGGGCCTGGCAGCAAGCTTCCGGATGAAAGAGGAGGCGTGGCTGGGGCAGACGCAGCCTGGCCGGCAGAGGCTTGGGCGGCTCCAGGAAAGAGCTCATTATGTCCCCTTACTTCACTGTAAAGCTTCAGAAAAGTGGTGGATATGTGACCAAAGCGGACCTCCTCATCTCCCATTTGGCCAGTGGGTGGAATTGGACAATGCACACACATATTGGCTGTGATGTGTAATGCTGCTAGTGTACTTCAAATCCTAGAATGCCCCATTTGTAAAGGTCACTGCTGCACTTTGCACACAAGCTCGCCTAGGGCAGCACGAAACCTAAATACACCGCTGAACGTCACACCAACACAGGACAAAAGGAGAACTATAATTTTTTATTCACTTTACAAAGGTGGCGTTATTAACTGTGCCATTAACAGCTTTATAGACAAATATACTGTACAATATCCTGGAGGTTATACAAAGAACTGCAGCCGCCTCAAACACAACAAATTCAGCCTTGAAAAAAAACCAAGAAAAAAAAAAAAATTGCATTAAAGGGGAAAAAATATTCCACTTGTCTAAAGGTTCATTTTAGACCGATGGGATCAATGGCTATTTTCATACTGTACAGGTTTAATTAAAAAAACAAAACTGAAGTCTGTTCGTTATCTTTTTTTAAAAATAAATGCACAAAATAAGCCAATGATGCACGGATTTAAATGTAAAAATCAAGATTAGAATAAAAATTAAATATTTGCATAAGTGGTGATCGGACTGAGTTCCATGCTCGATCCCTCCCGTGTCGCCAAACATCTGGGATTGAAAAGTAAAGATCATTTCATGACTTAAGCTGTTTGAAACCTTTTTAGTTCTTTTCTGTGAGGCCGCAGAGCAGGAAGTATGGTGTCCATCATTTCCTGCAAATTCACAATGTCGCCGCTAGCAAAAACTGAACACCTTGGGGCGTGTCACATGACAGCATTGTACAAAATGGCAGGAAAAAAAAAAAAAATGGCAGAAATGAGCGCAGAAATGTATGTGGAAATTAACCGAAGGTTGTGGATGAAACATCAGAGAATGGTCTCTACCAGTTGTTGAGGATCGGAACAGGGAGGGCGCGTGGGATTCTCACTGAAAAGGCAGACACGGTTAAACATTCTGTAGGTTGGTCTAAGCTCCCAATCCTCCTGAGGTCACCTATCTTCCAGCACAGCCTAGAAGAGTCGGCACAGTGGAGGGCCGGCCAGTTTTGGGCACTGTAGGGCGATCTTCCCTTACACCGGAAAACTGCTATTCACTTTCGTCCCCGGAATCTCCGTCAGAATCGCCATTTACTTTGTCCACGTTCATGTCTTCCTCTGAAGACTCTCCCGACGTCTCAGCTTCACCATCATCCTCCTCCTCCTCCTCCTCTTCTTCCCAATTATCCTAAGAGCAACGAAGAGGCAATTGGTAACAGATGTGTAATTAAACCTTACATCCCAACCTGATTGGACAGAGGTCTTCCCTCTGCTCAGTATACGTGCATGGATATCAAGGCAATATATGGAACTTTTGCTGCAATACACGCCAGGGGTGTGGAATTCCTATTGCCGGATGCTCGGGACATGCAGTTCCGTGCGTTGGGTGAGTTTTTTTTTTCTACATGTAGTCCTGCTTCTAGCAGGCAGCAGGGCTAAATGTAGTGGGAGCAGTTTTGTACAGGTGATCTTGGGACTGTACAGATGTCCAAAATCACTTGTAACTAGCTCGATTCTCCCTCTCCTCCCCTCTCTTTCTGGCAGCCGTGTCCTCTAATACCGTTTCCGGCTGTCTCCCTTTCTGCCCCGGTCTTAAGGGTCTCTTTGGGACCACAGCAAATTAGATTAGGTTAGAGAGGATGGAGCAGAGCATGTCTGTTCTCTGCTCCGTATAAGCAGTGACAGGAATGCTTGCAGCTTTCCTGTCACAGAACACGAGCACAGTGCTGTGCTAGAACTCCTGTGTTAGAGGTGACCGGGTCAATAAAGAGAACCTGTCACCTCCAAAAGCAATCACACAGGGACGTGTTATCTCCTGTGTGATCGCAATAAAGTGAAACACATTGTGAGAGATACATGATCGCGCGTGGCAATGTGCGTAAAATCTTGTGGATGGCCAGGTGGTCACAGAATCGCGCACCACTGCTTATTTCGCTAGCAGTGCCATTATTTTCTATTGGCACCCAAGTTGCGCCAGGCAGATTACACGACAACACCGCTTGTGCAATCGCGCATAATCACAGTTGGAAACATCGCACGGTGCGTGTCACAAAAAAACCATGTACCTTTTTTCAGCAATTGCCACGCAGATGTAAACCCATCGAAATCAATGGGGCCGCGCGGCAACCACTGTATGTAACACCAAGTAATTTGGGAAAATGGAATTACCAGCACAGATCTGGCCCCCTCTCCCTCCCCGTTATACTTGCCTTTCAGCAGAAGCGCCTTCCCCCGTCCGCCAGTACCATCTGTGCCATGTATTCTGAATCTCGCTTGCAAATTGCAAGCACTCTTTGGTCAGCACGGTCACCTGACGGCGCTGACCAATGAGAAGCTCTTAGCACTGCTAAATACGGTTTTGGTTAAAATTATTTTTTGGTATCCTGACGAGTAGATCAGCCCCCGCTTTAGTCCTTGGAGAAGTTTTTTTTTTTTTTTTTTTTAAATTTCACACCCCTGCACTCCTTCAATCCAAAGCCGCCCTATGCCAGCAAGTAATTCTAGTGGATTCAGAAAGCATTTGCTCCGCACGTAACGTTCTCCATTAGTACAGAGCATTCATGACAAACAGTATAACCTGAGAACCAGGCCTCCAATATACTCACATCAGAGTTATTATCCTGCTCATCTTCTCCGGCTTCCTCATCTGAAGACTCTGCAAGACAAAAAACAACAACGTCTTGTTACAGTGGGCCATAGTACTCAGCATAGATACACGGAAATAGGATTACCTTCATAGACATGCAATACATTCAGATCCGAGAACTCTTGTACAGTCTGAGTTTTATGCACAGGAAAACAAACGTGAACTCATCTCTTGTACAATGTCCGCAAAGAACTGGCACACAGGTTATTCCTTCAATGTATCAATACTTCAAGAATGGTGTGAGAAATTACCACTCCATCTAAAAAACACCAGGTCCATATCAAAAACACCAGGCTGGGACCTTTTATTGAGCAGGAGTGGTTCTTAAGGGATGACAATGACTCAAAACAATGATAAATGTGCCAGAGTATTAAGAAACAGCAAAATCGCGCTATGCCTAGCACTGCTTCATAATGTCATGTATAATTATTAGTAGTGGCCATTACAAGTTTCAATTAAATTTACACTATATAGGCAAAACTATGTGGATCACCTTCAACATGATGGTGTTTAGGGGTTTCCAGTGAAGAGCACTGTTAATACTTCAGACATTTTAGACAACGGTGCTCTTCCGACGTTGTGGTAATCGTCTGTTCCAGCACGGCTGTGCATGTGTGCACAAAGCCATCTGCATAAAGTTATGGTTTGGCCTGCTTGCTGTGGAAGAACTCAATTGCCCTGCACAGAGTCCTGATCTCAACCCCACTGAACACCTTTGGGATGAACCATTTGAGATGCAGGCATTCTCATCCTAAAATCAGTACCTTTTGGTTTGTCCATATGGCTGAATGGGCACAAGTTCCAACCAACACACTCCAAAATCTTTTCAAAGACAATGGAGGGTGTTACAGCAACAAACAGGGGCTCAAATCCATAGTAGCACCCATGTATACCCAAAAAGCTGGTGTGCTGGTCAGGAGCCCAAACTTTTGGCCCAGTATCAGGACTTGTTCCAATCTAGACAGGTAGCCACAAATAGCTTTGTTCTGCAGTTTACACCGAACACACCAGATAATAGAGGATCTTACCTTCCTCATACACCACTTTGGCGTCCTGGTTGGCTTTGAGCCTCTGTGATAATTCAGATAATGCCACCTAGTGTAAAACAAAGAAACCATTAGGACGGGACATAAAATCATCACTGCAGTCTCCATAAACCTCTTCCCATCAATGTGTGCACAATGGATCACATACATGGGTTACTGGGATTAAGGGGAAAACACCTTACTCCCAGAAGGCCTCACCTGTGAGATGAGAAGATAGAGCTTTCCATTCAGACGGGACATTTTCTGCATAGTCTTCACCCGCGCCTCCAAGAGTTGATATAGGGAGCCGAGTTGAGGGACCAAATCTGGTAACTGCAAGACAATCTAGGTTACACCAGGCACACAAAACGGCAAGTATGAAAACAGTCACTACACACTATGGTTTTTTTTACAGCAGAGGACATCAGGAGCTTCCTTTTTCAAGTGAAAATGTTGTATACGAGAGGGCCAATCAGGCTGAAGTTAAATTCACCCTGTCCCTGGTATAATTCCAACCTGCAGCCCTCTGTACAAAGAAGCTAAATACCTGCCAAGCAATCAGCGAGTCTGCACCAAATCAATATTTAGTGTGTCCACCCTTCACACCAATCTCCGAGGAATAATTACAATCAGTTTAAGGAATTTAGCAGATTGGTTGTTCCAAACATCTAAGAAGTAATTCCAGTTCTGTGGATTTAGGCTTCCTGTCGCTTAGGCTGGGTTCACACCTAGGCGTATCGAATATGTGCATTTGCCTTGCGCTGTGCCGCGTGTTTTTAATGCGATTCGCGGTAAAAAAAAAAAAAAAAAGACAAACGCGCGCTTCCAAGGGCTACCTGGCTGTATCCCAATGGATATGCGTGGCAAATACGCCCTAAAGAAGCTCCTGTACTTCTTTGCGTGCTCGTACGCGCTGTAAAACGCCCAGGTGGGAACCACGCCCATAGGCAATCATTGGTTTTCACATGTTGAGCGTTTTACAGAGCGCAGGAACGCGCTGTAAAGCACCCAGGTGTGAACCAGGCCTTAGGTTTCGTCATGTAATCCCAGACAGACTAGGTTCAGTGGGGACCATGCCATCTCAATCTGCCTTCAGTTACAGAGCTCACATTTGAACGCCTTAGTCCTGAGCACCTGCTGCCAGTGTTCTGCACACAAGTTTATTGCAGTTTCATGCATAGGCGAGTCCCTTGGTCTTGTTTTCAAGTTTAAGGTATGGCTTTTTTAAGCAGCAAGTCTTCCAGGAAGACCACTTCTGAACAGATTTCTCCAAACTGTAGAAGGGGTGCACCAGGGTCCCACTGGTTTCTGCTAGGTCAGAACTGATGGTGCCAATAGACAGCATTCCATTTCAAAGGGAAGTCACCATGAGGTCTCACCTGCTGCACTACGTTTCCTTGGTCAACCACTGCGCTCTGTTCTCATAGGGATCCGATGCTAAATGCTTCTGTAGAAGAGCTTGGACAGCACAACTAGAAACATCATCCTTCCTTGACAAGTCTGCCAGTGAGACCTTATTAATGCCGTAAGACCACCCTGTTTATCGTTGTGCCGAGTCTTGCCATTTTGAAAGAACATCGGTTTCCAAGCGACCTCATTCGTTTTATTCACCCAGTTCCATTCCTCCTACACAGCAGATTCTTTGATCTGATTGTAGTTTAATCTAAATTAGGGGTAGCAAAGCTTTTACCCTCCGGCTGACACCCATTATGCATCTGCCTGCGACTGACAGCCTTGCAATGCCTTATGGGACTTGTAGTTCAACAGCTGAAGGATCGATGTTCAACCACCACTTACCTGCATGCTCTCTTGTAGATTAGCACCCGTTGGTGGTGCAAATTTTTTTTTTACATCAGATAATTTTTATTTGTATTTTTCACTTTTATAATTTTGCATAACAAGGTGACATTGTATACGGTATTTTGTAGTACACACAGTCGAAACAATAAAAACTTAACGCAACAAAGACACAACCAGTGGTCATATTAGTAGCGTATACATACATTTTGTGGGGCAGGGGGGCACACATATGATACACTCCCGAATATATTTTGTAGTAAATCGAACACATAAAAATAAAGCAACGTCTTCTACCTCCAGTACCATCACATCATATCCCCACTGCACCCTCCACATTCTTCTTGCGTGCTGGCACCATTATCTTGCCTATCTCGCCACCATCACAGTTCCTCTCACCTCCCCTTCACAATTGGTGCAAATCTTTAATCGTGAACTGGATCAGCAAAATCCAAAATACAAATGGTTTGCCAAAATACCTGGGAAATTGATGCAGTTTTAACAGTAAAGGGTGACCACACCAAATATTGATGATTTGGGCATCCCCCCCCCCCCCATGCACTTAGTAGGTTCATTAATATACTATCCATTTTTGAAAGCATCCTTACTTTAAAAAATAGCCCAGTATTGTGTTTTACAATTCAGTTTACTGTACACGTCCGCAAGGTCAAGCCACAAACTTGAGACACTACAATGTAATAAGAACAGGACACCAACGTAATAGATGCTACACAAGACAAACAAATGACATTTCATTTTCTTGTTTCAGGTCTCCACATTTGGCAGAAAGGTACTGAGCTGTGAAATAAAATGGCCAGGCAAAACACTTACTGTAGAAAGATAGGATGCATGATTAATGAGAACCGACTTCATCCAGCGTACCATCAATATCGCACTAGAGACAAGACAGACAAAAAGGTGAGCAGAAGCAGGGAGGATGGAAACCAAAACCAATGTGTTCCAAATCATACAGCTACAGCATTTTAGATATACTTTCTCTACCCTTATTCTAGTTCTTAGTTGTTGCCTTATGACTGATAAACCACACTTGCCAAAAGTCAGCTATACCAGGTTTGTGGCATTTGGTGCAACTTATGACAAAACGCAAAGTCAAAAGCATTACCCCCCCATTACGGGAATATATACTCTGGGCAGAGGTTTGTGGACACCCAACCATTTACACTAGAGCTAGTTAGACTCTTATTCCAAAACCAAATAGTGTTAATATGGAGTTTCCCCCCTCTTTGCAGACATAACGGCCTCCATTCTTCAGGGAAGGCTTTCCAAGAGAGTTTGGTGTAATTGTGGGACTTTCAGCACATTCAGCCAAAAGAGCATTAGTGCGGTCAGGTACAGGTGATGGATCAGAAGACCTGGATTGCAATTTGCATAAAGATGTTCGGCAGGGGTACAGGACAATCGAGTTCCTCCACACCAAATCATGTCTTCATGGAGCTGGCTTTGTACACAGGAGCACAGTCCTACTGGAACAGAAAAGGAAGATCTCCAAACTTACCCCAGGGCTGGAATAGCACACAATTGAGTAAAATGTCTTCGTACGCTGTAGCATTAAAAGTACCCTTCACTGGAAATACCCAAACACAATCGTTTGTAGGGGTGTCCACATACTTTTTTGCCTTATTGCTAGGTGTGATGGTCTGGTGTCTACAAACATGTGGCCATATCGTGCACACAGGGAAAGGCTTTATACTGACTTGCAGGAACTGCAATTATAATAGATTTCTCTAGGAATGCAAGATCACTAAGAAAGTCGATTCTGATCATAGGTAAAAACCAGACACCTCAATTAAAACTGCGAAAAAAGGCTTCAAAACTAAATTCACATGTCCTTACCTGGATGGATGTCCTTGTAACCTTTTGGTGAGCTGAAAAACAGATCGGTATGAATATGAAACAGCTGCACAAACATCTGTAGAAGCTGCCTAACCATCTCTCCCTCCATCTATTAATATGACAAGTGTTAAGCTGCATTGTGACTGGACCGGATAAGCCAAGGATCCGGACAACCCCCTCTTCCCCCTTCTCAGCCTGACTTCTGGTGTGCAAGGGATCACAGGATATCAAAAGTAAATTTTGGCTAACTAAGCAATAGGTGAACTGCATTTAAGAACTTCCAAATGTCAGGTGGTTATACAAAGTCCAGGAAATGTTCTCACCTCGTGTACGAGCGGTAGGACAGAGTACAACGGTATCTGTGCCACGGTCTTCCTTATCAGAGTGTCATTTTTGGTCTGGAATACTTTCTATGAAACGGGCAGATGATTTCAAGTTTGTTACATGCAATGGACAATACAGGAAAGAACAGTACAGTATAAGAAAGGAGCAGTCCACCCCAACACACACTTACATTTAAGATGTGGGGGTCACTGCTTTCCAAACCCTGCGCAAGCAGCACTGAAAAGTTGTCTGTCTGTGGCAGTCTGCCTTTACTCTGCACTTTGGGAGGTTCGACATCCACAGCCATAGCACCAAGCCGTTCCTCGATAGTGGCCTAAAAAAAGAGATATTTTCCTTACAACTTATTGTCCACAACATAGCAAGAGATACATAAAAAGGGAGAATTTACTTTAGACATCTAACGTTTTCCATCATGCCTGAGGAAGGTACATTACATGACATAAGATTCCCTGCGTATGTGGGTTAGCTAAAGAAAGCAGAGTAGTAATCTAAAGTCCAACTGAACTTGTAGTTTAAATCCAAAATACAATTCTGCTTTCCAGGGGCACCAAACCCAAAATGCGAGCAATGGCTTAGTTTGTTTTCTTTAGAAAGCAGCCACAGCCTGAGTAGGAAAGCATGTCCAGTGCAAGCAGCGGTCTCTTGACCGAGGTCTGACAGACCTCAGCAGGAAGTATGAACTTTGCAAATTGCAGCCGTCTAGTTAAACGTAGTCAGAACAAGTCCCCTTAACACAGGTAAAACCAGCCTGGGTATCCAGGCATCAGTGACCTTTAGTCACAAAATGGTTAGTAACCCAAATGTATGTTAATGGTATAGAATGGGTTAATAAGCCAAAATTATGTTTATGGCAGAGAAAAAAATGTGAGTCCCGGAATCAAAGTCCTTCCAATCATTACTCGTGGGGATACCTACAGAGACCAGTTTCTGGGTGGACTTCATGGCTGTGTGTGGGGAGGAGGAGAGGCGAGGAGGCTTTCCTGACAGCTTTCTGCTGTCTTTGTATTCATTTGCTCTTTCTTTCCTCTCCATCTACTTTTAGCCATTTCTTTGTCTTGCTACTTTTTCTTTCTTGCAGCACCATAACTAGTCGTTTAATCTCTGGTCATTCCTTACATTTAGGCAGGAGCTACTGACAAAACACGTGAATGGGAATTTTTGGAATTTGCATTTCTCAGGATGTACTGCCTCCTAGTTTGAGGTCACTGTCACCAATGACCACCATTGCACTTGCTCATCTTTTTGTATGTACTTTTGATCTTTATACTTTGTTTCTTTGTATGAAACTTGAAAATTTAAAAAGAAAAAAAATCCTTCCAATCATCCCACTCAGACAGCCAAGAGAGGTGTCTTCACCTGTTATCTGACACAAGCGAAACCAGACTGCAGTCATCATGGCAGGACAATAAAATATAATGTGGGCGCAAAGATACAACTGTGGCCAAAATCAGCACAAGATACCCTTGCAGCCCAACGTAAGGGTAGGAAACCTTCCCATTCCAGCGCTGTTGAACTACAAGTCCCATGGAGCACTGCAAGACTGGCAGTCACAAGCATGACCCCTAGAGGTATGATTGAATTTGGAATATCAGCACAGATGGGAGTGTAGCATTTGGGACAGGGGTAGGCAACCTTGGCAGACGAACCACTGATGACATCAAGACAAAGTCTATGGTAATAAAAGTTTAATAAAATCCTAAAACCACACCTACCTCCTTGTCATTGGGTTTCCGCTTCCTATCCGACTGCGCAGATCGGGATGCTGCCGATAAAGCAGCACTGTGTCCTGGAATTCCGGGGACGAGGACATTTGTGCCCGATGATTTTACAACAGGCGTTTTCACCTACATTTATAAAAAAAAAAAAACAACGCTCACATATTAACCAGTTCAGCTCTCACCAATATATCCCCAATGGGGTGTATAACTTTGTCATTACTTAAAACACAGTTACGGGGTTAAATAGGAAAACATTTTTTCTGTATTACCACTACAGATGAAACAGCGGATACAAAAAGGAACAAATGTTCCTTTGTATCTGTGTCGGGTCTTTCCTTTAGTGGCTTTTACAGCTGCCATATTTACACAGCAAATGCCGGCCGTCATTGTGACAGGAACTGCCGGCAAGTGCAAGGGTGGAACAGCGACAGGGCAAAATGGCGCGGCATACTACACATGTCCAGTGTACTTTAATGAAAGTTTCAACTGTGTGTGTAGTACAGTGTCCACAACAGGTTAACTCATATCACAGAAGTCATTGGAAACCACAATATACCTCACAGCTATGTGCCAGCAGCTTTACCACAACCCCGTGCCAGAGAATCAAAGACCTTCACCAATCAAAATATAACCTAAAATGCCCTGTACTGGTGGGCTCATCAAATTCCTCTACCCCTCCTCAGTAGTGAAGGGAAAACTTAACAGGAACTTGGTGACTTAGGCTAGTCCCATAAGTCTACTCCCACACCCAATGTGCATGCATGCTTGGTCTATTAGCCGATTGCTTACCCCATCCAACATCCTATCACTAGTTAGAGTGTCTGCTCAGACAGCCAAGAGATGACAACATCAGCACAAATCAGAAGATTGCGAAACCATTCTCTGCTCATCATCACAGCTGACCACTCTTACAGGGATGGGAGGAGGGGGGGCTACTAACATTAGTGGCATGCAAGGGATCTCAAGCACCCAAAAGTGGACGTCTGCATTTGCAGTTATATGAACATTGCAACACGTACACTAAATAAACTGAACTGTAGATGGAAAGTGGTTACCAGTGTTTAAGCCATTCGACGGGACAGACAAGACAGACCCACGCAATCACCCTTATTGCAGTTAGCATGACATTACTAGACTCACCTTGGTTACTGCTGTGTCTCTTTTAACTGGTGCAGACTTGTGGGTATCTCGCACTAAGCATATGTGGGGTTCATCTGTTTGAAAGGCCTAAAGAGAAACCAAAAAGAAGTTACATATGTCCGAATGGCAAACTTTCAATACATTCATTAATCTATACTGTGCAGAGTTCCTACTGGCAATCCTGACCTGCAGAACAGTTAAAGTGACCCTAAACTCAGTTGTTAAATCTTAAAAATACACGAAAAAACCTTATTACCAACAATGTCTCTTATTTGTGTATCATAAAGTATAGGAACGTCACCAGCACGACAGACTTAGATGTCAGTGCAAATCCATTTGATGTCAGTCATCACTAAGTATCAAGCGCTTTCGGGGGCCACGCAGGGTCCCCTTCATCAGGCTCAGAGTAAACATCCATCTGAGCCTGATGAAGGGTACCCTGCGCGTCCCCGAAAGCACTTGATACTTTAAGTAATGGCTGACATCAAATAAATGGATTTGCACTGACATCAAAGTCTGTCGTGCTGGTGACGTTCCTATACTTTACGATACACAAATAAGAGACGTTGTTGGTAATAAGGTATTTTCATGTATTTTTTTATTATAGATTAATATGTGCAGCGTAATTGGCCCATATGGAACCATCCAAGTTCAATTAAACCTACACATTTTTCCAACAAATGGCCTGAGCCATGTAATGCTCATCCAATCTGCACAGGAAGTTCCCTATACAGAACACAGCTTGTAGTGAAAGTCAGCATGGTCTTATGACGTACCACTTGCTCAATGACTGGCTGCATGGTGCTGCCATAGTAAAGTAACATAGACTCTCCATCCGGGTAGAAGGCAGCAGAGAGAATGGGTACCGGCTTTGGCGTGGAGCTCTCATCGTTGCCCGACGTAGCTATCTGTACTGTACTGGTGGGAGCAACAGGCTTCTTATAGTTCCTTTAAAACAATAACACGTATTAATACACACCCAAGATAATCATTTCTTGTAATATTTTTTTTTTATTGTCATGAGAAACCTCAAACTTCACACAGAACCATAGAAGCATTTTGTGGACTACAGGAGCGCAATCAAACCCAGCAAAATTGCACAAAATATGAAGATTTTTACCATTTGTAGAACAAAATGAAATATTTTGTATTCTACAAGCAGGATCGTCGTTTGCCTAAAGTCTACAAACATCTAGTCATTTCCAGTTCCCAGATCACGGTGGCCTGTGGAAATGCAAGTTCTTACTAATGGAATCCGGTTATGAAACCGAGCCTGGTGGGGAGGGATGGGATCAGGGTGCAGGCAGAAGCAGCCGAGTGCCTCTACCTGTACAAAAACCCCACTGGGGAGAGTAGGTGACAAATGCTGCATAACATATGGGTTGGGAATCACAGCCCTTAGGGACCGTCAATGGGCTTCTATCAACTGCATTACTTTGAGACTAAGATCATTCAGAGTTAATTTACAGGAGCATTTGATCTGAAGACCTCCTCCGGAGCTGCAGTTGGCTTCCTTCTGACCTACTTCCAGTGTGTTTCGCATTCCCATAAACTCATCAGGTTTTTACTTCTTGTGATCCCAATGGGGAGATTTTTTTCCCACACTTGTCCCTGCCTAGAGCACCTACTGTGTGTTTAAAAGCCAACAGTGCACTTTATTACAACATGACATGTGCAACAGAAGCAGTAAAAGTTCCATGGAGCAGTGTTATATGATGGCGAACATCTTACCAGTACATATGAAGGCGGACAGCAGTAGGTGACAGACTGGCAGTGCTCAGACACAGCCAAGGAAGTGTCTTCACTTTATTCAGAAAATTGAAACCACATTTTTGGATATCACCGCATGTGCCAGTATTACACCCACCGTGACACCATTCCTAAAGCTACAACTAAAGGGTTCAAGTAAAATCAAAAGCATTTATTGGACAGTGATCCATAACCAGCTCTATTATTTATAAAGGGGAATTAAAGGAGAACTATGGGGTTAAGTCTTTTCCCCATAGTTCTCCTTAGGGTAACAGGACACAAACTAGCGTCCTCCCGTCACCCTAGGCTCAGGATACCGCAAGCTCTAGCTCGCGGTATACTGAGACGCCGCAGCTGAAGCGGATCCCGACAATTGTGCCAGGATCCACCCAGCTGCGCGAGTGACAGCTGGCTCTGCCCATCAAGAGGCAGAGCCAGCTGTACCCTCCCCCTCCGCCAGTCAGCGCTGGCGTATCGGAGCGGGGAATCCAGCCCCTCCCCTGCCATGGCAGAGAGCCGTGACAGGATCGAGAGGTGAGCGAACACTGGTATGTGTTCGCTCACTTCCCGATCTACTGAGCCGACCTGTGACAGTCTCATTGTCACAGGTCGGCTAAAACTATGAGGTGAGTGAAAAGCACTCACCTCATAGTTCTCCTTTAACTATTCAGCGTAGCTGAATAACATTGTTGTTTATACAAGCTTTCCATTGGCATGTAAAAGGTCTATCAGGACAAAGCAGCAAATTATAACATCCCACTGTATCTTACCCATTTAACACGTGTTTGAATAGGTGCAGCTGTCCATCCCTGGACACCACGGCCAGCTTCAGAGGCTGCAGGATGAGATCAATAGAATAAAGATCAGGCATACACAGAACAAACTGAACAGCTGAAGAATAGTAACATCTTACATCAAATCTATGTGCGACAGAACAGGGGCATCCCGAGGCTGGGCGACACCTGGAGCGGAGACCGGATGACACCCCACCGTGACGCCATCGCGCGGAGGTGTGATGGACGCCGGCAGAGAGGAGGGGACGTCCACCCAGCGGGATGAGGTATGCCGCCGGGTCCCCTCCTCTCTCCCGACACTGTCTGGGTCTTGGTCCGTGACCGAGCGCCCGACTTTTCATAGGGGGGAGGGGGGGGGTGCGCGAGGTGACAGCAAAATGACTGTCATTTTGGTGTCACCCCTCGAATGGTGGCACCTGGGCACCTATGGCGGGATTTGTCCAGTCCCGCCATAACCTAGTCTGTAGTTCTCAGATATACATCCAAGCATCGTAACCCAAGAGACCTAACCAACCATTAGGTGGAGCCAGTCCACCAAAAAGGATTAAGCCAAACTCTTGTGAATACCATCTGAACCTGGCTCATCCCTCAAGGCCTGGTCTTTAAAGGCAACTGATTACTTGAGGGAAGTCTAACAGACTTGCTGACCTCCCGTTTTTCTTGTTCTTTGTGAAGTGGGTAACGAGGTTCATATAATTACTATGTCCTTCATTGAAGTATAACCTTTCTGTATGTAACAGTTTGCACACACCTGTAGAAAATAGTTCATCAGTTGCATAAAGTTCTTGAGCTGTGGCGAGTTCATCCAGTGAATTTGCTTACCCCATCCAACATCCTATCACTAGTTAGAGTGTCTGCTCAGACAGCCAAGAGATGACAACATCAGCACAAATCAGAAGATTGCGAAACCATTCTCTGCTCATCATCACAGCTGACCACTCTTACAGGGATGGGAGGAGGGGGGCTACTAGTGGCATGCAAGGGATCTCAAGCACCCAAAAGTGGACATCTGCATTTGCAGTTATATCAACATTGAAAAACGTACACTAAATAAACTGAACTGTAGATGGAAAGTGGTTACCAGTGTTTAAGCCATTCGACGGACAGACAGACAGACCCACGTAATCACCCTTATTGCAGTTAGCGTGACATTACTAGACTCACCTTGGTTACTGCTGTGTCTCTTTAACGGGCGCAGACTTGTGGGTATCTCGCACTAAGCCTATGTGGGATGGTACATATGGCATACCATGTGGGGATTGGTCCGGCTCACTATAGTCCAACAATGGTCTATGCCAGTGGTGGCGAACCTTGGCACTCCAGCTGTGCCAAAACTACATATCCCAACATGCATCTTCCTCTGGGAGTTATGTCTGTGGCTGTCAGAGCCTTGCAATGCCTCATGGGACTTGTAGTTCCAAGGTTCGCCATCACTGGTCTATGCTATCTGAATAAGCAGACTGCAGAGAGAAGAAATATTCAAGTCTTACCTCGTCTTTGCCGTTTGAAGGCGCCAGGTCTACAGCAACCGGAGAATCTGAGAGTGTAAAGGACAGAACTGCGCTCGTCGCTTTCTTTTCGGTCCGCACCTGCCTAGAAGACATAGTGCATTTATAGGCCAAGTGCTAGAAAGTCAACCATGAACATTATTGCTTCACTTCACATTCAGGCGACGCCTGTGCAGCAGAAGTGGTGAAAGTTGCATGGTGCCGCATGTTATCTGATGGAGAGCCCAAGTACATAGGAAGGTGGACACAAGTGGGTGACTGGCAATGCTCAGACACAGCCAAGGAGATGTCGTCACTGGATTCAGAAAGTTGAAACCACATTTTTGGATATCATCACCGCACGTGCCAGTACTAAACCCACTGCGACACCATTCCTAAAGTGTTCAGGTACAATCATAAACATTAATTGGCCAACCTTGATCCATAACGTCCGCTCTACTCATTATCTTTAACAATTTTGCGTGTCCTCTTAAACTTTTTACCTGCAAAGCAGAACGCCAAGTACCTTAGACGCCATCAGCTGCAGTGCACATGCGCTCACAGTAAACGTGTTAAGAGGAAGAGAAAGATGACTGTCCTGCTACGCCTTGATTGTCCAAGCATCTAGCTGGGGATATGTGCCTGCCCAGGCTCTGGCTATGCTGACATGTCTGGTTCACATGATGAGCAGAACTACAAATCCCTCGGCAAGTAGAGGGTCCCAAATACATCAACTATTTGGCTCTTGCCTTCAATTCAGCTTTTACACTTCTGGAATCCTATACATTGCAACACTATAGTACCGACTTGGGAGAATCACTCTAGCTGTGTACTAGGCATACATCACTTATTCGGATGAACAGTTCCCGGATAAGGACAGAGATTGCATTCTTTTTAGTCTGAGCAGCCTGACACATGAACTCAAAATGGGCCTTTCTTCTCTGCATGGTTAAAGTACATGTGTGTTTTAAGGGGGTCTTACAGATATTATGAATTTCACATTACAATATAGGGCAACAGTAATTTTTTTTTTTTTTTACTGCTACACCTTTTATTTGTCCTAGTGCTTCAGTCCAGTGGTGCTGCCTAGGCTGAGATGTTGTCATCAATCAGCTGCACACAGGAGGAAGCAGCATTTCCTCAGTCTCCTTTCCCCCAGTCACCCGACTCCAACACTAACTAAAAGTTACAAGGTGCCCTCTACCTTACACAGGTAGGCCATAAACAAAAGAAGACTTCCCGGGCAGCATCACCACATGGAAGCCCTTCTCAGCGTTCTGTGACGCGCTCCCCAGCTTGACTGAGGAAACACAAAAGACTGAGGGAGTGGAGGAGAGGAGGGTCTTTTAAGCAAATTAAGTGACGTGTTTCCTGTGTGTGGGGGAGGAGATTCCATCTCGTGATGCTGTCCTGGAAGACGTTATGGGAAATCAGGGCTGATCTGTGAACACAGCCAAGAACTGCACAAGCGCCAGGATTTACACAATTGTGTCAAATGAGCCAGAATCTGCATCTGCTGCCATTACAACTCCTGTTAGAATCAATACTAGAAGTCTCTGTATCCTGACTGAAAAGACTCCTACAAGTCCAAAGGTTCAGGCACACCTATAATAGAGCGCTTTTCCCTTTGTGACTGCAGACTAAGGCACTTTGCTCTTCTATCAGATCAAATCTCTATACCACACAGGGAAAGTTATGCCGTTCTGGGGTTTTGCAGCATGCTGCATAGTCAACCTAAACAAGATTTGTTAACACTTTGTAGCTTCTGGTCAATAAGAATTAAAACCCAAACGCACAAGTCTCACAGATAACGAAGCCAGCTTACCACACACTGATTAACCGGTCGTGTAACGCTCCAGACAGGAAATACAGGCCTGTTGTGTCACTGGATGAATGGGACTCCCCCGGAGGTCGTAGGAAGATGAGGGACGTGACTGCCGACGAGTGCCCGGTGAATTGCTGAAACAAGATCGACAGATGAGCGGCAAGCTTGGCGACGGCAATACCTGTAAATCAATCTATGCTGAAGACATTTAATGGCACAACTGTTCAACCAACCGCCTGATAAAACCCAGGAAGAAAGCTGAGAATTTCTCATTTTAAACCAGCTTGCTCAAGTTTAAAAACCGCAACCTATACTTGAATGTCTAAATGAAACCAGTTATCCCTCAGGTTCCAGATCACATGACCGGTGCCATGGCACTCGGAAGACTGTTAGATGACGTTCAGGCAGCATGTGAGCGGATGTAGCCCAAGTCTTCAAAAACTGGCACTGGAACCGGAGTGATACAGGTTTCATATCCTCCGGTAGCTCATATAAAAAAAGAGAATTTAGGAGGTCATGTGGAGTGGAAAGACAGCAAGTGTTAGATCCTTCGATTGTTCTACTGATCTCCTTTCTCCAGTTGAGGAAAATCTACTCAATTAGTGATCCACTGAAGAAGAAAACTCAAAAGCATCCCAAAATCATAAAAAAAATTTCCAACTTTCCCACAATTTTGTTCTGGATGAAGTTCCACTTTTGAAGTAGAACATTGGAAAGAAAAAAGCAATGGAGCCGGAAGATTTTTCTCATATTGCAGAAGATACATATTCAATCTCTTCTGCAATCCCCATTGGTTATTCTCTGCCATCTCAGTGTACAACACAGACGTCTGCCAGGTGCAGGGATAATATTCATTCATTCATGTGCACATGTATTGGAGTTAAAGCATGACTCTGGGCAAAGATGATCTTAACCCTTGGAATGGGGCTACCTCTGCGCTGCGAGGGTTACATGCTCATTTTTGTCTAGGTGCTTAAATAAAAAGTTATGCTGACCTGAACCGCTAAGCCGGCTCGATGCTTCTCTGGTGCCTGAAGCCTGCCTACTCCTCCACTGCAGGAAGGGTATGCTCCATGGCATCCTGATGTCCAATAAACTGAGGGGAGATTTATCAAAACTGGAGCAAACAGAATCTGGGGCAGTTGCCCATGGCAACCAAACAGCATCTCTCTTCAGTGAGGCAGAGAAGCTGATTGGTTATAGTGCAAATCTGCTCCAGATTTGGTCTACTCCAGTTTTGATAAATTCCCCTGCCTGTGTATAGATCATGACTCAAGGATCCTTATACCGCTGCAGCGGAGGGGGAAAGAGAGGCTCCAGGGACGAGTCTAACAAGCCAACTCTGAGGATGGGGAGAGTACAACTATCTTAGCACCTAGACAAAAAGGAGCATTTAACCCTTGCAGTATGGGGTGGGGTGTCCCACTCCAAGGGTTAAGAACATTTTTGCCCAGAGCTCTGCTTTAAGTAATTCAAACTCTGGTTAGTCAATGTTGAATCTGAAAATCTGGGTGAAGTGGACATTCATGAGGAAGCTCCTGGGCCTCACAGCTGGAACAGGAAGGTATAACAGACTATTTCGGCTTTAAAATGAAGCCTCTAAAGGGGCAGGTTGGCAAACTCCAACCCTCCAGATGTAATGAAACTACAAACGTCACCATACCACTGGGAGCCTGCAGCTGTCAGTCAGTCTTGCAATGCCTAATAGGATTTGTAATTGTACCACAGCCGGAGAGCCAGGAGGTTACCTACCCCTGGTCTAGGGACAGAACCTGGAACAAGCAAGCAGGAAAGAAAAAAGTCAGACATAATCAAAATATGATTATCAGCTTTTTTAGCTAGAGCAGGGCAGGATGGGACCCTCCGGCTAGAGCAGGGCAGGATGGGACCCTCCGGCTAGAGCAGGGCAGCACTAATCTATGCTGCGGGTGTTAATGTCTCAGGAACAGGTATAAGCTTCACCCTCTATATTTGGCCTTGTGACCACTGTTACCAATACAAAACATGAGGGGAAAGCCAGACGTTGGAGACTTCTACTCAGTTACTGATGTGTCCCCAGGACGGTATTGAAGAAAAATACCATTAACAGGACAGATAGCAAAAAGACCTTTCTTTTATCGGCTGTGAACTAGATTTGAACACCATGTGTCCTAACAAAGGGTCACAGACTTCAAATCATTGTATGTTGAGAGGAAGGTTGGTCTGATCCTCAACTTTCAAAGTAGCCTGGAATGTGCACAAAGACCTTCAACCAAATAGCAAGAAATATACTGGAATTGTTTTTTTTAGATATGCTGTATGATTGGGACCACAACAGAGGGGTTTTCTCAAATTCGACTGCAAAAGTGGAGCTGCACTTCAATTGCTGCATGCTTGTTCCAGGTCAATAACTTGGCAGTGATGCCATTACCAGGAGGACCGCACCAAAACAAACACATTTTTTCTATTCTCACAGGTTCCATTTAATAAAAGCAGACGTCACAGTGACTGGATCTCCTTAGAAACTTCACAGTAAAACTTCCTAAGGGGGTCTTCGGAGAGTGTTGTGGAATCTGGAAATTGGTGTACCACAAACAGATAAACCAACTCGGTATCATCCACATTGATGTTGCTGTCTCAAGAACAGGCAGAGACTGCACAATGAAGCAGCCCTGAGCTGGTAAGACAGCACATAACCTACCGAGTGACTGACCAGACCCCATCCATGTTTACTGATTGTCTCTGAATTGTAAATCACATTGGATGACATGAACAGGATGGGACCCTCCGGCTAGAGCAGGGCAGCACTAATCTATGCTGCGGGTGTTAATGTCTCAGGAACAGGTATAAGCTTCACCCTCTATATTTGGCCTTGTGACCACTGTTACCAATACAAAACATGAGGGGAAAGCCAGACGTTGGAGACTTCTACTCAGTTACTGATGTGTCCCCAGGACGGTATTGAAGAAAAATACCATTAACAGGACAGATAGCAAAAAGACCTTTCTTTTATCGGCTGTGAACTAGATTTGAACACCATGTGTCCTAACAAAGGGTCACAGACTTCAAATCATTGTATGTTGAGAGGAAGGTTGGTCTGATCCTCAACTTTCAAAGTAGCCTGGAATGTGCACAAAGACCTTCAACCAAATAGCAAGAAATATACTGGAATTGTTTTTTTTAGATATGCTGTATGATTGGGACCACAACAGAGGGGTTTTCTCAAATTCGACTGCAAAAGTGGAGCTGCACTTCAATTGCTGCATGCTTGTTCCAGGTCAATAACTTGGCAGTGATGCCATTACCAGGAGGACCGCACCAAAACAAACACATTTTTTCTATTCTCACAGGTTCCATTTAATAAAAGCAGACGTCACAGTGACTGGATCTCCTTAGAAACTTCACAGTAAAACTTCCTAAGGGGGTCTTCGGAGAGTGTTGTGGAATCTGGAAATTGGTGTACCACAAACAGATAAACCAACTCGGTATCATCCACATTGATGTTGCTGTCTCAAGAACAGGCAGAGACTGCACAATGAAGCAGCCCTGAGCTGGTAAGACAGCACATAACCTACCGAGTGACTGACCAGACCCCATCCATGTTTACTGATTGTCTCTGAATTGTAAATCACATTGGATGACATGAGAGGCGAAGCGAAGAGTTCCAAGTGAATCGATAGTTGAACCTCAGAAGAGGCATCTTTGCCGAGCTTATTGACCCCCAAAATAGTCCTCTTACCATGCCCAGCTTCTGGACATCACCAATATCCTTACCCTACCCCAGACTCAGCACTCAAGTCAGTGTAACATACCCTGGTGACATTTTTGGTTTCCAGGTCCCACAGTTTGATAGTCCGCCCCGCAGACAGCAGCATTTTTCCATCTGGACTTATACACATACAGCTGACGCTGCTGTTGTCTGCTTTCCATTTGCTGTGAAGGGGGAGAAGGAAGAGAAGAGTTACCATATTGCATTTCAGGGACGAGAACCTTCAACTACCGAAAGGAACACGCTCAGACAGCCAAGAGAGAATCACCATTTCTAAGTCAGAAATAAGCAAAACCATTCTACATCATCACAGCGAGAATTTCCAGGTAGGAGGGGTGGCAGTATAACCAGCTCAGGTTATTTATATTTCACCTTTTTCCTACTTTGAAGTTTCTTGTTTTTTTAATAAGTGTTACTATGGATAAAAGTAATATTTTATAGTGTCATTACATTAAATTAGGATTCTGCTCTGGAGTGCCTTAGAGACCAGAAGGATAACCCACTGTCTGCTCTATGCGACTCCTCTTCTAATACAATGATTCCCTCAGTGGCTTAGTCATTAGCACTTTGGCCTTGCAGCACTGGGGATCCCCAGTTTGTATCCCGGTCATGACACTTCTGCGAGTTTGCATGTACTCCGGTTTCCTCCCACACTCTAAAGACATGCTGCAAGGTTAGTTGGCTCCTGTGCAAATTGGCCCTTGTATGTGTGAGAGGGACATTAGATTGTAAGTTCCTTGAGGGGATGTGCACTATGTAAACCACTCCCTGAAATGTCTGCTATATATATATATATAAAAAAAAATAAAAAAAAAAATCACTCGGCTTCACTCTGCACCCTGGGGATGGACATGTAGCCTTTTGTACAAAGTTGTCATGGGACAGAAGAGCTGGGATCTCTAGAGAAAGAGAGAGCATGTGTGTGTGTGGGGGAGGGTCATGGGGCACTTGAGCATGGATACATTTTGCCTAACAATGTTGGGTACAAAAAACAACAAATCTTTATATTCTTCACAGAACCTATGTGCCCCATCCCATCTTGCAAGGTTTTTGCCCTCCTCTATGCCCATAGTGTAAAACCTGAGTACCTTGTAGAACAAGGATGAACAAATCCGCACTTCCAGCTGTGCTTTAACTACAAATCCCAACATGCTGCTGCAAGTTATGACCAACTGTCAGTATTGCAATGCCTCATGGGACTTGTAGTTCCACAACAGCCGGAGGGCTGTAGTCTCCAACAACTGTAGAACATGCTACAGGACTGCCAGATAAAGGCCTATTGGAAGCAGATTGTTCAATTTCCTCATGACCTCCCAGGTGCCCCTGAGCCCCAAGATGTGTCTAATAAGCATACTAGGAGATAGATCTTTTATAACTATGACGCAATGTTCCTCCAAGAAACTGTTCAGATTTTTTTTGACAAGTGTATGGCATCCAGTTTTCCCAAATGATTAAATTCTTCTATTTACTTTTGGCTAGCATGAGAGACCCTTATAACCAGTCAGGTTTTTACTGCTGTCTATGCGTTCACTGAGATTAGCGATGCACCGATACCAAGTACCCATACTCTGTACTTTTCCAGCTCCAAGACTAGACTAGAGAAAAACTCAAAACTTGGGAGGCAGCTGTCATGTGTAAGGAGCACACGGAGCTCCCGGGATTTGTACATCTGTTTTAATGTACGATTTTGTTTTTATAAACATATATCAGAGAGGCACCGATACCAGTTTTGCAAGTACAAGTACTGATACTCACCCAAGTCCTCACAGATACAAGTACTGATACATTTTTGTTTATTGTCATGCAACAGTTTTTCTAAAACAATACAGACGAATGATTTCAGGACAGTGGTGGAGCACCAGAGCCAGGTCCCAGCTGCAACCGCTGCAACCCTGGTAGTTCTCATGAAAATGCCAAGTATCTGGTATGGGTGCATCCCTAACTGAGATGATTCACATTCTGTTTCAATGACCACTGAGACAGGAAACCCATAATGTGACCGTTGTCCCCATAACATAAAATGAGATGACATCTTCCTGCGGGGTCAGCGTGTTCAGGATGGATTTTCCTCACTAGCCAACACAAAATGGACACGTTTTGTAATCGGAAGGAGAAGTAGTGGAAGAATGCATGGACTTATTTTATTTTAGAGCCTTCCTTCCTGCACATTACTAGGAATTGTTCAAAGTTAAGGGAACTTTCTGATAGTAACAAAACACAAAGTTGACGCAGGCTCACCATTTCACTTTGCAGGTCTGTGTGTTCCATTCTATAATGTGTTTGTCTTCTGAACAACTGTACAGACAACCATTGTCCTGATGCCACCTGATGCAGTTTACTCGGCTATCATGGCCACCAACCTGCAAGAAGAAATACATTCCCTTTAAATAGCAGAGCAAACAATATCTTCTTCCACAATCCGCTTTGGGGGGGGGGGGTCCTAGGAGAATGTTGTGGTAGATGTGTAATGTTGGACACACACACGTTGCTATCTCAGGAACAGGTAGAGACTGCACAATGTAGCAGCCTTGAGCAGGTAGATAGCGGAGACCATCAGAGTGACCGGACTAATGCCGTACACATGTACCGAGAAGTGTTTCTGGATTTTTGGGGGTAACATTTTTTTTAATGACATTCATATTTCCATTCAAAACTGCAGCTGCTGTAATACTCTAAATCTGTAAAAATTCAAAGCAATATGGTGACCTAGAGATGCTAACACACAGGGACCATGGGGAACAGACATAGCCCCCCTCCAGAAGGAAGGACAGTGTCAGCGCCAATTCAGAGATGATTTGCGGATCTGCAGCCGAGTGATACACAAATAAGATACATTTTTTTAAATAGTTGCGATACCTGAATTTTTGGGGGGGGATCTGCTGACTTTAGTGTCACTTTTAATGTGGTGGCTTCATTAGTTTGAGATTTTTCTCCCCTTTACTTTACTTGGGTATCCTGCTGCTTACACAATTCCTGTCCTGGGGTGACAACACTCCTCTATAGAGGGAACCATGGTGGTCACCCAGCCTGGACTTAAAAAAATAGGTCTTCCTGTCCTCATGTTCATGAAATGGGATGAAGTTTATAGAAAGATGACATTGTTTGTGCTTCTGTGTATGAGGTCAGCCGGTATTTTCGGTACCTGCTGAAAAACAGAACACTAATGCAGCCACCACACGGGCTGGTGAACCGCCACATAATAGTTCTCAGGTTCGGCTATCCTTGGCTCACACATCACTGGGCGCAGTGCCTGTAGCAGTGACATCTCACCAATCTCCACCGTCTCTTATAGGGAGGTGACTCCACTGAAATATCAGTTCTGAGCAGAGAAAGCCGATAGAAACCAACTCACCAGTTTGCTTTGTAGTTCTCCTCTGACGATGCTGTACAATAATATGGTGCCGGTTGCTGTGCCGATTGTGAGGAGGTCGTATTGTTCATCTTTGACCGCAGATTCCGATTTCCTCTTCTTCTTCTGATGACTTTCCTATAGGAGACAGGAGGACGTGACACTTAGTGCAGTGTGATTAGCATGCGGGGTACAAACATGGGAGGGATCAAGTACCGGAGATCAGTACAGGGATAAGCATGGAGGGGAAGGGGGTCCCAGAGATCAGTACAGGGATAAGTATGGAGGGGAAAGGGGTGGTCCCGGAGATCAGTACAGGGATAA